GAGATGTTTCAGTGCAATGCTGTTTGGGGGGGGGCCCCCGGACACGGCCAGTTGGCAGTCCCAACTTGCCGTCCGCCATGGTGGACTGGGGCTGCGTTCAGCCCGGTTGCACCTGCAGCTGTTTTGGGCACGCTCAGGGCAACCGTGACCCTGCTCGCTCGGCAGGGGTTTGAGGCCCCTCGATACCCTAACGACGGTCCGGACTGGGACAGCAGCAAGGCTGCAGAGGCTGCATGGAAGTTGTCGTTGTGGGCAGCCGCTCTTTGCAAGTCAAAAGTTGCCGACGCGCCCCGCCCGATGCCAGGGGCATCGTCTCAGCCCAGGATCTTCTTGATGCTCCCCGTTTTTTGTTTTTCTCTCACGCGCCTTTTACCGCAGCGTCTTTGTCGCAATTAAGGGGGGCCCCGGACACCAGGGTTCTGCCGGAAGCCAGTTTCCTCACCTGCATGTTTTTACGGAGGGCAGCGTCCTCGCGTGCACACGACGGCTACCGGCGGCAGCCGCGACGCCCCAGCGGAAGATGGGCACGCGGCGAGAAGGTCACGCAAGTCCGGGCAAGGCCCATCAAGGTGCAACAAGCCAGACCAGCGCTGGACATAAGCACTTCGAAGGGCAGGGCGAAAAGCCTCCGGCGCGGCTCGGGCTCTGGCACGCGCAAGGAGGCGGAGAAAAGAGACGGCCTCTGACCCCCGGCGGCCTCCGACGGGCGCTGGCCAGAAGCTCGGGATAGGTTGCTTCCTTGCGGCGCCGGGCCTCAAGAAGGGCGACGGGTCGGGCCGGGTCGCGCCGAGAACGGGCCTGGCGGTGCAGCACGGGAAGGCCGGGGCTCGAGTGACCACGAACACCTTTGTCCGTGACCTCATGTGGCGGTTTCTCGCTTTGATGACCGTCGCGTCGAGGTCATCGCCAACGGCCTCCCTTTGTGGAACGGGGCGCGGCTCGCGGTTGACACGACCATCGTGTCTCCGCTCACCGCCGCTGGGGAGCTCCCGCGCTTCGCCGCCGACGTTGTCGCCAAACTTGGAGCCGGCGAGCCCGTCGGCCCCACCCTCCGAGGCGTGCTTCAGTCACAGGCAGCGCTTGCTGCGGCCGGGTTTGACTTGATCCTCGGTGCCCAAGCCCCCCCAGTCCAATGAGCCAGGCGACCACTTGCCCGAACCCAGCGCGCGGGGCTGGCAGGCGCCAGCTGCGGCCGCAGTCGCCGCGCATCTCCAGACAGAGCTCCTGGCTCAGTTGGATGTGCCCTCGCAGGCCCTTCTGTTTTCCCAGACTGGCCCATTCAGCACTCGGCCTTTCACCACTGTTCCGACCTGCCCTGAGCTCACCTTCCCCTCCGAACCCTTGCGCGGCGCCTCCGCCTCCCCCTGCCCCTGTCCGCCCGCACCTGTCGGTGTCCCAATAGGCGGCCGGAGCGAGGGCGACCGCAGACCGCAGGTTGAGGCCACATTGCTGGAAAGGGAGCTGGGCAAGGCGGAGCGCGTGGTCCGGGAGTGGGCCGGCCCCCAACAAATCCGCAAGGCAGGCGGCGACAGCCGCGTCATAGGCTTCCGCAAAGGCGAGCGAAGCCACAGGCGGCCAGGACCGCAGAAGGTGACAGCAGCGCGGTGAAGCACAAAACAGAAGCAGCAGCCATGCGGACTGAAGGTAGCACCGGCCAAGCTCTCGGATGCCTGGCGGCGGCGCTCCAAGCCCTTGTTTTGCCCTGGTGGACTTCGATGCGCGCATGCCGGAACAGGTGCTGGGACAGTAGGTCGAAAACCACACGGGCCTGGGCGGAGGGGACGATGACATAAATGTCAACGGGACTGCGGAGCACCAACGAGCCTGTGGGAATCGGGAGGCGAGGAGCGACACCCGACCCACCCGGAGCCATCTCCCGGATCGAGTCGCTGCGGGACTTGCCTAAATCCGAGGCCAAACGCTCTCCGAGGAACAATTGCAGAAAAGCCTCCTGCGCCGAAGCAGGGGTGCAGCCTCCTTCAACCAAGCACCGTTCCAGGACCCAGGGGAAGTGCAGGACAACGTGTTCCGGCACAGTCGCAGTGGTAGTGCGGAAAGAAGGGACAAGTGACGTTTCCGCGACAAACTGTTGACGACCGTCAGGGTGGCAACTGCCTGCGGACCTGAGGCACAGGGACCGGCACACGACTGAAACAAGGTAATCGAGTAGAGCGCGTGACGCCCCCCCCCCTGCACGGCAATCGCCAGAACAGAAGCGTTGCGAAACAACGGCCAGGCCAGGGCTAACAGGCCCCCATCCTCCCGCGCTGTCCCACCAAACAACACGCCACCTCCTCAAGCTTGCGGAGAAAAGCGACACGACGGTCGGCTTGGGGTCAAGCCTTACAGCGACCCGCTGCATGGAGGCAAGGCAGTCTGTGCCAGGGCACGTTTGCGCAATCTGCAAAGGGCACGTGACCTCGTCGAAGCGCTGCTCTTACCTCCAAGAGTAAGGAGCAGGCGCCTGTAGTAATGCTCCTTGTGCCACCGCCAGGCTTCTGAAGCGCCGTGAGGGTGGACAAGTGGACGCGCGCGGGCAGCCCAGTGCAGCAGGCTGCCGAAGTGGCTCTGGCGGACCGCGCGGGAACGAGCGTCACCGCCTTGCCTGGCGCCAGGTGGGAAGTGTCCTAGCCCTCAAGCACCGTGTCTTGTCTCTTGGGCAAACGCACAAGGGAGCGGGAAAATTCAAATGCATATATGTGGAGCTTCGCGTGCTGTCTCTCACGCGCGAAATCATAAGAATAGTAGGCACTAAAAACCTCTCGTGCCAGTTTCTTATGCAACTTCCAATGTTGTAGCTTGTTAAAGCCGGTAAGCACTAGCAAGATAGCACTAGCAACATAACACTAGCAAGAGTTGCACCAGAAAGTGGCGCTAGCAAGTTGAAATGGCGAGTTGCGGTAGCAAGTTTCAGGAAGTTGCATTGGCAAGTTGCTGCAAAGGTTGCGCACAAACGCTGACTCGCGGGCCCTGTCTGGCTCCTCGCCTGAGATCTCCTCCCCCACTCACAAAACAATCCACGTAACACATTTGTAGGAGAAAAGTGAACATGAGCGGACCATAATTGCCATTATTGCCATGTTTCATGGCAAGCACGAATGGCCCTCGTCCCACACATTCCTTGCAAAGATTCATGATGCGAATCCAAGCCATCCGTGTTTGGGGACCTGTACCGGAGCGAGCCGAGAACAGAAGAACGCCAGTCGTGTCGCGAAACTTGAGCTGCCATTTTGGATGATAGGCACGCAAAAGAAGGTTAGAACGATGTGGCGCGCAAGTCTGAACTCAAGAAGGCTCGAGTGTGGCGTGTGGAAAGCCAAGGAATGTTGCTGATGCCTTGCCAGATGTCAAGAACTTGTTTGCACTGCGGCATGGCGAGCCCGGGCTCGACGCGAAGCAAGACGCAAGGCCTTTTTTCCAGAATCCCCTCCCTTCCGAGGCCGGTAGTGGCTGTCGCACGTGCCTAGCGCGGCCGTGCTGCCACACAACTTAGGCACAAGCCGCCTTTCTTTAATCGCTTTGTTTCAGCCCTATGCTACCCTATGCTCTCTTCTTCGCCAAGTTTCGCCTCAAGAAAAGCATGCGTGAGAAGGTGAAGGTGGCGAGGTGACCCCAAACCGCTGGGTTCTATGCAGGTAGTGGACTGCGTGTGATGGGGGAAAACTGGCCCATTGCGTCACACTTGCTTTGAAGGCAACGAGTTCTGGGGCTTCGGGGCACAAGTCTGCACAGGGCGACGTGCGCCCCAGCTTGCACTTGCCTGCAATGCCCCAATTGGCGCTTGAGGCGCCGTGCCTGGGAGTTTTGGCGCGAGCCGCCACGCTCTACGATAAGAGCGGTGCCAACTGGGGGGCACCTAGGCGCCCGAGCAAGAAAAACTAGGGCGAAGGTTGCAAAACGAAAGCAACGCGGCGAGGCTGAGAGCTCAAAGGCCCAGCTGTTCGCTTCGTGAGACATGAAACTCAGAAGCAAGCACAGTTGTTGCAGTGCAAGTGACGCAGCAACAATACAGAATATATTTCAAAGCAGCCAAGGATAGACTCCTTGACGGCAGCTTCGGAAGACACGCGGAGGCAGCGTGAGGCAAAAAATGAGAGTTCAGGAGGCGGTCAGCGACAGTTACGTGGATTGTGCCCAGGCGGCAACACAAAGACATGGCAAGCGTTGAGGGTGAGCTTCCTGACAGAAACTGATAGGCAAGTTGCAAGCTGCTGTGAACGCGGCAGCGTCTTTGAGGTGTCCGGAGCAGGCTTCGCAAAGAGTACGAGTTGACCAATTCCAGCAAAGGCTGGGGTGACTCAACCTTGTCCTTCCTCACAAAGACACAAAGGTTGCATCGAGCAATTCAAACAAATCGAAGAAATAAACCAAACATGAAGGACACGACAAAACACTGCCTGGATGGTTCACTGATTGAGATCTGGAGCAAAGCCAGAAAGACGGGTGTGCCGGGCCCTACCGAGGTCCCATGCAAAAAGTCTCGTGTCAGGAGTTTCTTGCCACAGGTCCAAAGGGTTGTAGAATCTGATTGCCCACCACAAATTCGCCGAGCCCTGCGAACATCATGCGCGGAATTGGAACTTTGCGCGCAAGGCAGCTCGGGCGTAAGCGAACGGTGACGGACTCTTCCAACTCCACGCATTTCCAAAGGCTGTGCATCACTGGCACCAACATCATGAGTGTCCAATAGCCCTTCATGTTGAGAAGCCTTGTGTGTGTGTGTGCGTGTGTTTGTCCTTCATGACCAAACCACCTGGAGCAACGCGCCGAATTTGTCCGCTCTTGCTCTGGTTCAACCGAGAAGGTGATGACAATGTCACACCAACACCGAGTTCAGAATCAGCAGGACCGCCCTTTGGCACCAAGAAAGTCTTGTTGCTGGCAAAACAAACTGTAGCTACATAGCGGTCCTTGCCGAATGCTGGGCATGCTTCGCACGCCAATGCATTAACGTCTGGGATGTTGAGGGCCTGAAATTGAAAAGCATGCCGCATCCCAACTCACATATGCCGGTAGCGAGTGGCCGGCTCAATCCGCCACCTGCAAGCTAGCTATGTGCGAGTGGGTCGCACAACAAGCGAAATACCAGGCTGATCCTTGCTGTACTTACTTATACTGCAGGGATACAAACTACAGCTTGATATGTTTCGCTACCCAATATTCCAAGGAGTCCAAGTAAAGTCTCGGAACATGGCATTCAGGAATACAGCAGAACGTAGCACGGATGCCAGGAGAATCATGCCGCCCAAACTAAGAGGGCTCAAAAGTAAGACAAATAGCTTGGGCCCCCACTCGCTGTCTGGCTTCAACGTCATGTCCTTGGTGTGCGAAACATACAAACTGAATCCAAGCCCAAAAACCACAACCAAGCGACAAAGCTGGGCTTGCTAGGGGGGTTGTCTCGAGCTCGTGCCCACTTAGCGCAGTGCCTTCGTCTGAGAATCCACGGATTTCAGGGCCCTGACATCATGTCAGCATGAACATCACTTTGAGGGGACATGAAGAATCTGGCAACCCCAGCTCTCCCCCACACCAACAAAACTGTGTCAGTCGCACATGTGACACTTCCGCTGGCCACGCATACGTGTCGCTCCTCTTGTCCTGCATCTAGTCGGGCCCTTCCCCCCATACCCAAACCGCAACGCTTGGCCTCTTACAGTGCAAGCGTTGTACCTTGCTCTCTCAATGCTCACTGCCAGCGGCTTGAGACTCCGAGATCGATCTGGCCTGTAGGCTCGCTCCGCCTTGGCTAGCGCCTGGTCCCGGTCACCAGTTTTGAACCAGGTGCTGAGACCTCAGAGCGCACCAAGTCGCCTCCTTTTCCCCGGTACTCGAGAGGGTCCTTCGTGCCATTGCCCTTCGCACTCCCCATAGCTGCGGATCATATGGAGCCATATCCCCGCTGCCCCCCGATTCCCACAGGCCCAAGGTCGGAGCACGCCACCGAGTCCAGCCCGCCCAAAAAGCCGCGGATGCAGCCGAGGCCTGGCAGCACTGGCTGCACGAAGTGAAGGAGAAACTGAGATGCAACCCCGGATGCAATTGTTTTGTTTCTTCAGCGCTGGAATCTCGCCTGGAAGCCAATGAAACCATTTTGGCATTTGGTTGGCTGTGTGGAAAGGTTGCGGAGACCTCCCTGCTTTTCACTGCAAAGGCGCCGTCACCGGCACGAGCCTGTAGGCCAGAAGGGCTCCAGCAGGGCATCGCCTCATCGCGCGAAATCACCATCGCCACTCACAATGAGATGAGGCTGATTGATTTGCAACCTTCTGTTGAGCCAAACTCACCTCAAGTTGTTGCAGTTGATCTCAGGGTGTGCCTTTTTCGTTTACCAAGTGGAAAAGGCATCTGCCAAGCAAGCCGTGCAGAATTCGAGCGCCCTGCCTGCTAAAGAGATTGGGAGAGGTGCGCCCTCAGCGAGCATGTGACATCGCAAATCATACCATCCCCACAGCCTGCACACCCATAGCAAACGGAAGCAGGACTCACAACACAACGACAAACATGAGCTTTACCAAAGAGCTTAGGATTTGGCGAGAAGCCAAATGAGCTGTTGACAAGAGATCACGGTCTGCACTAACCGTTGCAAAGGTCACTGACCGCAATTACAAGGCCAAGAAAACTGAGAACTGCCCAGGTCAGTCTATCTTCCATCTCCGGCTATACCGAGATGAAGGCCTCTCCGTCTGCGTCTTGGAAAAGCATCGCCTCCGCAGCGGACGGCGAATTTTGCGGCTTCTGCGCTCCAAACATGTTCTGACCAGGGCGCGTAATCAAAAACAACTCCATGCAAACAAACAAACAAAACAGAAAGAGTCCTGCCACTTCAGCAGCCGCCTGCTCGTGGCGCTTTGTGTCAGAAAAGTCGAAGATCAAAGCCGACCTGAGCCCGCCCCATGCCAACGTGATTGCCCTGCCATCCTTGGCTGGTGCTCTCATCAGCTTCATGCCCTGTGCAATACATGTGCAAACTTGGCGCAATCTAAAAGCTACATCTGCCAAAAGACTAGGGTAGCTTGCCCGCACTGTGTAACCAGTCACCAGCTTAAAGCCCATGGCAAAGAGATTCCGCTAAACTAAACCAACCAGCGCATGGTCCGCATGGTGAATGAAAAATGGTTGAGAGCCCAGTTCTTACCTGTTCCTAGTTCGCGCAAGCTTTGCCTGTCTATGTGCTTTCTCATGCGCTGCCAAAACGACAAATCAAACAGTGTCAGTAGAGGTCTCACCGTCTTCATGACCCTGGTCTGGCCGCTTTGACAACCTGAACAGTCGCTTCCTTGAGAAATGTCAGCAGGTGGTTCCAACTTGGATTCATGGGAGTCCTGGCAACATGAGACTTTTGGCAACATAGCCTTCTAGCATCCCGCTTTGCAATTGAAAACATGATTTCACAACGATCAAACACACCTCAGCGCCTTGCCTGTTTCTGCTAGCACTTGCCTTCCGTCCTTCTATCCAAGGGGCTGCTCTGCTGTCAGGAGCGTTGGAAGCCCAAAGTGCTGCGCCACCTGTCTGCCACGGTCTGCGGAGTTCCAAATTTTGGCGACTGGGAAACGTGGACTCCCACTCACTTCAGGAATCAATGCCAGAGTACACTTTCTGAATAGTAGCATTTCCGGCTCAACATCTTGATGCTCAAAAAGAAAAAGTCGCAATCATCTCTGACTAAGCAGAAATGCTTTGCCAACAAGTCCACAGGTGCCTGCAGAATCCGGGCAGGTACAAGGCGTTTGCTTCTGTTATCTGGGACTGGGGTGCGCTAATGTGTACAGTTGCACTACCATCCCTAGACCCAAGGCCGACAAAATCAGCTGTACATGCCAGGCCCATGCAGCGTCAACTGAGCCTCAAGTGAAGAGGGCATCAGAAGGTCCACTCCGTGAATGACCACGCAAGCAAACCACGATGCTACTTCCCAGAAGACAACTCCTGGATCTCTTCTGCTCACGCAGCAAAGATGGCCTTGGCTTTGGCATACAGGGCCTTGCCCTGAGCCGTCTTCCCGTTCACGGTGCCGAAGCCCTTGATGCCAAGCTCCTTTCTGGCCTTCACCACGGCAGTGGTCCAGGCCGAGATGTTGTTGTAGGCCTTCTTGCTTGCCGCATTCGCCTTCTTCGAGACCACTTTGCCGCGCTTGTTCTTCCTCACTACGACTTTCGTTCTCTGCACTCAAAACCATGGCAACAGAAATGAAGCTGGTCAGTGGGAAAACGAAGATGTTGGAACCAAAAACAAGAGCCCAAGCACAAACACCCTGCTGAGGCTGATAAGCTTCATAAGGTCTGTCTTGGTCAGCTGGGTAGCCGTCTTCTCCTTGGCGCCCTTGAACACTGCCGCCTTGGCAAACTTGCCCTTTGCAATCTTGCTCACGGCCTTCTTCTTCATGACCTTGGCCTTCATGGACGGTTTGGTGGCCTTCTTCATGGACTTAGCCGACTTCATCACGGACTTCATCGCAGACTTCATGGAGTACACTTTGCAGCAAATTGCTGCAGGCACGGCTACGTCCGATCGGGTGACCTGGACATAGCGCGAGCCCAGGCTGCCTCCCAGCGAATTGCCAGGAGGACAGCTCAAAAACTGCAGACTTCATGGGAAGAGCCATGACGCGTCAATGAGGCCAAAGCAACCAAACAAGGCACTGCAACAGGGGCGGGCAAGCTTGAGACTAAAACAGCGGTGGGGACCATTGCACAACTCCCCCTCTGTCTGCACAAAGGGACTAACACGGGCCGCAAGGATTAGGGCTGATGGCTTGCGCAATTTGCAGAGCGCTGCCCAGCCCTGTCCAAAAGCACGCCTGCCTCTTTCGCCAAAGATTTCAAATTCTCCAGGTCAACCTTGCCAGAGATGTAGTTGACATGTCAGCTGTGCCACTCAACAAATTGTCGTAGCTCACAAGTGCTTGCCACAAATGTTGTGTAATTGCTGATCGCAAAAAACAATGAGAATATTATGTAGACAGCTGCTGAGAGTAATTTCGTGGGGATGTGTCGTGTCGACAACTAGGTCATCGTTCTTGCGAGCAATGCCAATGCATAAGGTGCTGCTCAAACAAAGGGCAACATTGACAGAAAGTGAGGGAAATATCAATCATTCAATGATACATCCGGATGCACAAATCAGGTAAAGCCAATCCTCCAAGTAAGTACTAGGGTCCTGAACGGTAAGCCGAAGCCCGACGGTGCTTTCATTGTCCTTCCACCCACTAAATATGAATCACATAGCTCTGGGGATCTTCAGAAAGACATTAAATCGCCTGAAGTTCCAGTTGTTCTGTGGCTCTGTGTGGTGCCTTTGGCTCATGCCCCAAGGAACTCGAGTCCGAGGCCCCGGGCGTTGTCCTCCCGCAGCAGAGGGGCCTCCGATCGCGAGGCCGCGTCGCGCGCGTCGCGCGCGTCGCGCGCGTCGGGACCCGACGCGGGGCCCGGTCTGGGCCCCGGACGCCGTCCAGGGACTCGGCGGCGGCAAGGCAGCCCTTCTCCACCAGGCACCTGAGCAAAGCGGAAAACATGGCGGGTTTCAAGGGGCACCCTTCCGTTTGACAAGTGCGCAAGTTGCTGCGCAGGTTCATTGCCATATGCAAATTCAACAACCGGATGTGTCACTCAAGAGGTATTCCACTCAATCCATTGAAGAGATGGGTTTTTAGTGAAGGTGCCAACTATGAGTTGCTTGCCAGAAAATGTGCCTTCCTTCACACTCACTATGACATATCATGATCGCCCCTCCCAAACAAAATACACACACATTTGAAGGGAATCGGTCAGAACGGTGCCTTCTGCTGACAGGCTGTCCCAAGCGTTGCACTGTTTCGAGGGAGTCATGATCATGTAGTGACCTTGGGCAGATGACAATGGCTGGTTGCGTCATTGGTTATGACGACATGGATGCGTGGCTCAGCGTGCGGCTTTCATCACCTCTGTAATAGACAATATTTTCCAGATCTGCACCGACCTTCGATCCAAAGTGCAACACTTCAGCACAGCATGTGTTCCGATTGCGGCTTCTACTGCTGCTGCTATCACTGCACATCTGGCTCAACTCTCCGAACCAGCGCCAGTGATCGAACAAGTCAAACCTGAGAGAACTGAGACCGTTTCTTTCATGCACGTACCGCTTCTATTCACTTGAATCATGCTTCTGCGGATGCGCCACACGATTCACCTTTGTGGAAGTGAAACACCTAAGCGAGACCTCAACATGTTGTGTGCACGTCCCATCCAACCATGCTTCCTCCCAAGCAAGTACCGCCAGCCTTCTCTTTGAGATTCCGAAACAGGACAGTGTTGAACTGCCTGGTGCTACAACCACTTCCAGAAGGTTGAAACCATGCCCAGACTGGTCCTGTTAGGAAAGCAAATAAACACCAGGTAAGTCTGAAACACCCTTCCACCCATGCCTTGCCCAGGAAAACTGTCGAAGTTCACGCTCAGCCCTGGTTCGTCCTGGCAGTGCAAAGGTCTCACTAGCCAGAAGGCTCGCTGGCTGTTGACAAATCCGCTTATTTCAACCAGCTCCACTGATTCGAAGTCAGAAACGCGCGTGGCACGCCATTCACAAAGTTCGCAACCACCCCAATGGCCTTGCACGGACGGGTCGCATGCGCGCAGTCAACTCGTCAACTCTCTGCCAAAATACAAGCCTCGGACATAGCAACAGGCTCCAGCCCCAAAGTCTTTGCACCTTCCAACCTCCGAACCGTCCAGCTTGAAACTCCTGGAGCCGGGGCTCTCACCTGCCCCTCTTTGCCGAGGCCGCCGGTCACCGTGGCCGCCCCTGAAGTGAGCAAAAGAACAGGTACAGGTGCAGGGCTGCGGGCTGCCATCTTCGGAATCTAGAAAAAGTTTGAATGAATCCTTAGAACCGCACCAAAACAAAACAAGATAAACGCAGCTGGCTGCTGATATTTCTGTGTGTATGCGTGTTTTGTCTTGCTCAAACAACAGGAGAATCCACGGCATCTCAAGAAACACAGAAACACTCGCTGGTCGGCCCAAGGGCACCTCTGCCTGCTGCGATTCGCGACGCCGCGCCGTCGCCTGAGCAAAGGGAAAGGTCATATCGCCTTTCAAGCGCGAGACGCAAAGCCAGCCTAAGGCTTCCCGGCCATTCTGCCCAACGACACCCAAGTGTCCAGCAGCACAGCAGAGCGTCCACAGCCAGCTCAGGGCCTTCCTTGGCCAAAGGGCCATTGTTGAAAAGCACAAGTCTGCGGCTGCAATCAGGCCAAAGAAACAAAAGTAAGACCTTCAAATAAAGGAGCAGCTTCAATGAGGCCCAGACCAATGCTGGAGCCGTGAGGGCAAACCAACCTGCAACGGAAAGAGACTCTGTGGGACGATTGAAAAATAACGAGCGCATTGTTGTGAACAAATGCTGCTCTCTTCCTTTGCGTGAGCTGGCAATCAGTTGAAACAACAGGGTCCAGTCTGTACAAAATGAAGCCATCTGCCGTACGAGAGCATGGAAATCCTGCACGGCATCTTGTCTTTGTTCGAGAAGAAATGCCAGGATGTCGCCATTTGTGGAAGAGCTTTGCTACAAACAGCATCCATTGAGGGGGTCGCCTGTCTGAGAAGAGCTTGCACTTTCCTGGTGGACTTCCGAATTGTGCCTTTGTGGAAAAAAAAGACGGCAGGATGATATGGGGTCATTCGCCTTCACTCAAGCCAAGAAAAATTTAATGCATCAAAAAGCAGGAGCTTGCAGGACGTTTCATCCAATGCGCACACAGTGCCTCCCTCCCCGTGTCGCTGCAGCCTTGCCCCGTCTTGTGGACTGCATCGCGAAACCTGCCAAGTCGCACAGCCAAAACGGACTTCTTTGGATGTGGGAGCTTATCGTCGCCGTTTCCAAAACCCGACCCAAGCAAGTGAGGTAGCAAACAAACAACACCGCTACAACAAGCAAAGGCCTGCGCGCAGAACGCGACACGAGCAACCGAGGTGAGCCACAAATCTGCGCTATGAAAGGAAAGGAAACACAGGAAGGCAAAGCAACGTATTGTCAGGATGGCAAACGATTACGTATCCAACCGAGGAGCCCCCAGCTAACCGAGCTGAGATCCCAATCAACTGGCTTCAAGCACGACACTTTCTTAAGCAGAGTAAGAACCGTGGACACTTTTGAAAGGCAGGTGGTTTGAGTTCATTGCTTTCTTGTTTGGCTTGTGTTTCCATAAGGGTTGAACTCCCCATGTTTCTTCGCCCATCGTGGAGAGAATCGAAACGTGCAGCAAGAACGGTTTCCTGATATGCCCTTTCGGCAGAGACCTAGACTTCCATGAATAAGAGATATAACCAAGCAGTGTGATCCTTTCAGGCCGTGGCTCAACACCCAGCTCAACACGCACCCCCAGCAGGAAGCAGCACCTGCCCAGAACAGAGCTGCCATTCAAACTGCCAAACCCCACTTACTTGGCCGCTCTCAGCTTCAGACTTCAGAAGCAAATACTGCAACTCGGAGATCCCGATGTGGCAGTAGTCCTGCAAAAAGCGCTGCGCACCGGGCAGGCAAGCCAAGCTGAGCTCTCCTTGTCAGCTCCAAAGCTGCCGCCAGGCCTGAGAGATTGCGCGCTTCTATCGGTTTGTAGCCCAACTAGCGCCAGTCCGGAAAAGCTCAGATGCTCACGGCGAGAACACTTTCGCACCCCACTGGATCAGATCCTGCAGAACAAAGTGACACGATGAAAGGATCTGCGCAGCAGTCGAAAAAAAGACTCAACATGCATTCAACTCCACATCTCACATATAACAGGCATCTTGGGGAAACGGTCAAGCAAAGCAATCGCAATCATTGGCTCCAAAGCAAGGCGCTGCTTTCTTGCTAAGCCATTCAGCTTCCGGCAGATATCTGGCCCCGTTTTTTTTCGGCCAACAGTTGGCCGAGGCACTGCACAGCCGACTTCCCTCAGCACCAGCGGAAGCAGCTCTCGGGTGTCCATCACGTGCCGATGCGGTCGTGTAGACCCTCGTGAAGGGCAGCGGCTTCGGTCACCTTTGGCTCGCTCGTGTTTTTGCCTTTGGCCGATAGCCGACTCCAGGGCCTTCTCTGTGAGTCGGCAAACTTTTGGCAAATCCGAGCTGTGGCTCGTGCCCCGCAGGCTCTTTCCACGATGCATCTGGTAACACATCGACCTCGCCCTCGCCCTCCAAGTCCAGCTGCAATCATCTCCTAGACCTAGACCCTGATACTCCCGACTTTTGCCTTGGGCGCATCGCGGTCAGTGATGCCAAGCTCTGAGGGGCTCAGCATGCCGTCCTGCGATGTCAAGGAACTCGCTCGAAAGAAAGCGCAAAGGGTACAGGTACAGTGCTCCCAGAAACAAGAGAAACCTCACCCAGGGGAGGACAACTTGACCCTCCATGACGGCAAAGCATCCAGGCCTGATTGGCATCCATAGCTTCCCACAAAAGATCCTGAGGGGCAAGACAGCCACAGCAAAACAAGCAAGAGAATGCGTCAACCCAGTTCAAAAACATACAAACAGGTGGAGGGTCCCAAACACATACTACGAAAAAAATAATAACTGACATAGTGAAGCAACACATGTTGGCGATGCTAATATGCATTATTCAGTAACTGGGACTGAGGGGCCTGAACATGGCTTACTGCAACGTTCCAAGTCCCCGTCCTCTTCGGTCTGAGTCAACTGGCAGCCGGCCTCCCTGAGCGCTTCCAGAAGATCGGTTTTGCCCACAGCGCCGCACAGGGCATCTTCCTGACATGGCCAAAGCCCTTGGGCACTCCATTGTGTATCACACAAGCCACGGGCCAGTAGAATGTAGAACCCTTCCAGCTGGGTATTCGACGTGTTGATCACGGGCCAGGCGCATCAACTGCAGTCCTCGAACAGAGCGAGGGCGCTCTTCTTTCGAAGCTGAAAATACGCCTGGGACAATGTGGATGAACGGATTACAAAGCCTCGGACCAAAATAACGCTGCCTAGCATGAACCCAATTTTTGTGCCTCGGGTGCCATGCGTATTCTGGTGAACTCCTAGACCCGCACCCGCACCCAAACGCCGGACGATGTGGATGTGCCTCATCCAAGCTCCGCAGCGCAGTGTTCAGGGAGGTCACCTCCGAGAGGTGCTTCCGCTGCAAGTGGTGGTAGCGCCGGATGCCTGAGGCCAACCAGCAAAACGTCAACTTTCTGTGCAAAATCTAAAGTGTGGACAACCCCCGATTGTGATTGTGACAAGATGTATAAATCAAGATGCATGTCCTGCACCCAGCCCTTACTGCCCAACAAGCGTTCGCGTGGCAACAGCCTGCCTAATACATCTAGAACGCTTTTGTGCTTCCACGCCAATGAATCCCTTTATTTCCTGCCAGCTTTGCTGAAGACAAGTATGATTGGGAGATATCAAGGATCAACCAGCGATACAAAATAATACCTCATCCCCGTTGCGCCAACGGACTTCAACTTACGTGCTCGTCCGATCGCACTAGGCTCTATGTCAGGCTCCATGTGCTCCATCGCTCCGTCCGGATTGTTGCTCCGTGCTCTTGCAAAGCATCTTATTTCGTTCTCTTGGTACGTTGCCAAAGGGTTGGTCTCAAGCAAATCAGCGCCCTTGGCCTGGAGACACGCAGGAAACAATTGTCATTTCGAGTCGCTTCGACAAAGTCCTGGCCTTGTCGCGTTTCAAAAATGGTCAGTTGCCTCATCGAATTTTATGCAGCCTATCAAGCCCTTGGGAGAGCTCTTTTCGCCTTTACGACACCCCGGGAGGATGCACCAAACACATCAGAGCAACCCCGCGACCCCTGCAACCACTGGCCTCCCATGAACGCGCGGAACAGGATCAGGCTGAACGCAGCCGACCCGGCCAGCGTTATCCAGAAAAGCCCCGGAACCTCCTGGCGATCGGAAGAAAGGCCCAAAGCATTCGAATTCCCAATGGCCAGGAAATGGTAGCTGAGAGTCACACACCGCAAGGCGACACAATACGAGCCTGAATGGCTAGATGAGGAATGTTCGAGTTTGATACCAGCATCATCGAACTCATTACACGGCATGCACTTTCAAGAAATCCAAAAAGTTGGCAAATCTGGCACTGCCGTTAATTCCCCACCAGGCAACTGGCTGCTTAGGCTTACGTCGCTTACCCCGGGAATCCTCCCAGCCACTGGCAAGGTTCATGCCAAAGAAGCCGGCGATCATGGTGCTCACGGCCATGCTGCTGGTTCCCATACCCATCCTCGGCCGAGGAATCTTGCCAAAATATTGCAAAGGAACAGGGCAAAACGCATGGTGTGTGGCTGGATGTGGCTGGTTCTCTTGCAATTAACCGACACCACAACATTGATTGTCTGTTGAGTGTGGTTTTGGCCTCACACAGGGAACATTTGCCTACTGTCCCCATCCTGATGACTGGTCAGTCCCGCCATCCCAACATCCCAAACCAAAGAGATGTGCTGAAAAGCCCAATGTTCACCATGCTTACTAGCGACCTCTGCTTTCTCTACAATATCATGCTTCCCAGCGACCTCTGCCTTCTGTACAATCGCAGGAAGGGGCACAATTCTACGACCATGCCCTAGCTGCTGCTGATGACTTGATGGCTAACCGCTGCCTGGCCGCAGGAGCTCCAACCTTTGGTGCGCGCGGATGCTTATCTGAAGAGGACATGATGGCAGGCTTGCCCTGGACCATCGCTACTTGTTGATGCAAGGATGGATTCATCAATCCGCATGAAGAGTAGATCAGGATCCGTCCAATCAACTTTAACACGACTAGTGGTTGCAGGGTAAAAACAATGAGTTGCGATGTCGGTGACCCAACATAATTCTGTATATGTAGCAGGAACGTCTACAGCCAGACCAAAAATATTGTGTAATCACATGACATCATTCAGTACACCTTCTATCATCAAGTTGGACCGACACACACACACATGTGAGACGGCATTGTGTGGGGGCGTTTATGCTGTTTATGCCCGGCTTCTGTGCGTTTCTGCCCTTCTTGATCAAGTTTGTGTCGCTCGTCAAGCTAATATCCGTCCTGCCAAAACCCTCCAAGCATCCCGCCTCATGATCCGATTCCGCTCGCTGGTGAGCATCAACTGCTCCATCTTGCTCTGAGTGATGACACCTCATGGCGCGCATTCCACCAGCTACGATATGCAAAGCTTTGATGAAAAGCAAAACAACCCGCATGCCCGTGGTAGAGCGGCAAGTGCCGAAGAGTGCAATGTGTTCATTGACTCTCAGAAGCCAGTTGGCCAAACTGGGATAAAGTACACAACACTGAAACAGGACCCACTAAAACGCTTGCGTGGGACCCTGCGTGGGGCCCTGCGTGTCCGACAAGAAGTTTCCTGTGATGAAGCCCAAGCCGAGCTGCCTTCCTGCACCTTCTGTATGCGGTCGCGCAGGTCCTGGGAAGGTGTAGTCGGAAAACACACAAAAAAAACGTCCAACGTCCGATCGCTGGTTCGAACGGTCGCGTGACTATCTCCAAATGTTGACAAAGTCGGAAGCCCATGCCTCCAGCATCATGCCGAAGGACTCCAGGAGTAGCTCCACGTCCTGGTGGTCTGAGACCTGGCGAAGGTGTCCGACCAGACTTGCGCCCCGCAGCCGTCCACTGGGTGGAATGGGTGCAACAGATTCTTGTGTGAGGAAGCAAATGTCGCCGGCCTTGCGTTGGCTGCCCGAGTCTCGGCGGTATGTCAGGTACATAGCAGCCATGTCCTTGCAGGCTTAGGTGAACAACATTGCCAGGAGAATTGAAAACCCGTTGGATAGAATACGAACACGCATCCGTCTCCTCATCAGACTTCAGCACGTTCTCAATGCAGGACTCATGGCGACGCACATCGACCTATGCTATCCACAGCGGCAACTGGCGCTCTCGGGTTGGTTGGTGAACTCCCAGATGCCATGGGCGGACATGTTTGGATTCGTGGGTATTCATTTGGGTGTTGATCAATATTCCGTTCAGCCCCCGAATCATCATGGGTAACTGTTCCCATTTAGTTGTTTAATTAATCAAACTTCTTTAGTGGTTTCCCCCAATGGTCATCCTATGTTCCAAGTATCTATGTATAAACATATGTTTGTATACATTGCACAGCATTGCCGTGGTTCAAGGAGAACTGGGGGGCATCCAAGGGCGACCTTCCCCAACCAAACCTGGAAACACGAACTGTCCCTGCCTCCAAAGTAGACAGCGAGTTGGACAACATCAGCAGTGTGTAGAGCCTTGCAAGTTCTTGCCAAGGATGGCCCTTGCTCCTACGCCCCCATGCTCCATTTCCACACGCACGCACACAATGACAGGCTGCTACTGAAAATTCGCTTGACAGTCATGATCACTCGGAATGAAACCCCAGGTCCACCCTTGGGAAACAGCAACCAAACCAGGTCGAATGAATGCAAGCCCAAGAAACGAATGCTCACGCGTGGCCCGAGACAGCGAAGGCGCCAGAAAGTCCCTCAACCGCAGCTGGGTGTCGTTTGCGGCCTGGGTAAAGCGTCCGTGCATCGAAGACTAAGGCTGGCAGCGTAGATGGCGCTGTGCTTTGTTTCTGCGCCAGTACCCGCGCCAAATTCATATGGAGATGTTCAATGGAACCGTCTTGATGTCAAAAGGACTGGATGGTAGCGTGCTTCAAAGCGTTGCATCCGTTGCATGCAAGAAGGACAACAGCTTGATGTTGAAACCACTTTGCAAGCTATCTGAACGACTTTGCCATCCCGCAACCGAGCCCTTCTTTGCCGCCCGCGGGCAGCTCGTAGACGGAGAGCTTGATCAATCAGGGCCTTGGAAGTGCTCAATCTTCCCAAACACCCCTAAAATCAAGAGACGGCCGGAAAATCCAATGTGAGCACACACAGCATGTTGACCGTGGCTCTTGTAGGTATCTTTTTTAATGAGGGACGGCCCTTTGGACATCATCAAAATTTACATTGTATGAATATTGCTTGAAGGTGTTTCCCATTGAGTTTCATGGTGGCCTAAAGGGAGCCATATGTCCGTTCAACAGGAGAAGTCCGTGTTTGGGATGCTATGGTGCTCACTGTGCCTCCACCTTTCCTGATGGGTGATATGACCAAGAGATTGACGCAGGCGCCTTGCTTGGGTCGGGCAGTTTCGGTCACTGCGCACACAACTAGGGCTAAGTAGTAGGGGCGCCCCCAGAGAGTTGGCACGACACACTTTGCATAGAGTTCGTGAGCCTCCTGCCCGGATGCATCGCAGTTCAGTGCGCGTGCCACGTGTCATTCCCTTGACAAATAAGAGTACATGGGTGTGAATCTTAATGAATCACGCACCCTCTGGGTAACCTAATTTAAATTATTCACGTCCACCAACCACTTGTGAGGTAGTTCCACCTCTGGAAATTCTTAGCCACGTATTGGTTGCTGTGGGCCACCGTTGAGCGTCTGCAAGCCCTGCGTTCGGGGCTCCGGGCGGAGAGCCGCGTGAAGCGGTCCTCCTTCTCCACGAAGCTCTCCCGAAGGGCCATTTCCAGCACCAAAAACTCGAAGGGTTGGGTCCTGACGCAAAAACGCGCCCGAAAACCGCCCGAGGTGGTTTCCCTGCGGGTTGAGACACTGTCTCAACAACCCGTGGAGAACCTTTGTCGTAGTGCTTGAACTAGTTGAGTTTGGCTCTCTCTAAGAAATGCAAGTGCTACGCATGAAAAAGCTATGCAAAAATAAGAAATCGCGAGTGGGCAAGAGGCAGAAACTATTGGCCCTGTGCGTGACCTCGGCTCTGCTGCATGTGCAAGCCGCCTCGACGCTCAGCCATAAAAGACTCGCGCTGATTTGTTGTTTGCTTTGCTCGCGGCACCCTCTAGCAAACTAAGCCGCTTACTGGCCAGGTAAATAAATAGAAAGACACAAAGAGAAAGGTAGGTAGATAAAACATAGACCTACAATACAATACTCAAAGGAGAGGGAAACACAGTTTTGTCAACAACGGGGGACCCCGGGACCTTAAAAGGAACGAACCCCTCCGTGACTGCAACCTCTCCCTTAACCTTGTGGGTAGCGCGAGCAACGCGCTCTTTTCAGCACTTGAGCCAAATGACATGCGGACATGTCATCTGGGTCCTTGTCATGTTTGTACATCATGCAACTTGTTGTACCTCTGGGCCATAAATGTCATCGTGATAATTGACTCCCCCCTCATTGACGGCACTGAGGGAGTGTCTTGGGCGCATTACCACGCCAACTTGAAGTCAAGTTTACATCACAACGACTGACGCAAGTTATTCAAGCATCGCCCAGTCACTTGCACACTTTTGGAAATTTTGCAGACATGCTGCAGCGCACTAGGCAGCTGCTTTAGCGGATCTACTTTCACGAACGTCTTCAAGCTTCTCTGGAAGGTCAACACGAATGCCGAGCAACCGGATGGCATGGTCCCACTTGTTGGGTGGAAGTGCTTTCGTGAAGATGTCTGCTGACTGCATGTCGGTTTGGACGTATTCTATCGAGATGTGTTCGCTTTCAAGCTGCTCTGCGATGCACGCGAGGTTCACCTTGTGGGTGCGCTGGACACAGCGTAGCTTGGATGAGAAACCCTTCTTTGCTACGAGGATAGTCGCCTGGTTGTCCTCGTGGATCTTGAGATGGAATGGTCTGTCCAAGATCAGCTCCCATAAGCTGAGCGCAGGAAGCGCCTCCTGGTAAAGGGAGTATGCGAGAGATACGATCTCCGCCTCGGTTGTCGATCGGGAGACCGAGGTCTGCCTTTTAGACACCCACGCAAGGGGGAAATGCGTATGCGGACCACTCAAAGTCAAGAATCCTCCGGACGTTGATTTTGCGTCTCGTTCTCCAGCGAAATCGGCGTCCACATAGAGAGACAGATGCAACTCATCAGTCGAATCCTGAACTGTGCCAACTAGCGTGCTGTTGACCGTGCTGTTTATGTAGCAGACAAGCCTATGTAGCTGCTTATCGCAGTTCCTAGACCATTTCTGAACAAATGAGGCAAGGTCGCCAATGGGCTTGACCAGGTCTGGGCGTGCCAAACGGCCGAGCCATAAGGCTTTCATTAACACGCGGCAAGCGGCGAAGCCGAGCTCACCCTCCAAGGCGTCATCTGCAGGATCAAGGATCCAGCGGGACAGAATGGAGTGGTGGCATCACGCAACTTTTCAGTTTTTAGCTGTGCAACCTCAAGATATAATGCAACCGTTTGACGAGCATAATCTCGCATGTCGAACGCCATGCCCCCTTTCAATCTGCCCATTGCGGCATTAAGATCGGGTTCAGTTGGGTCCTTTGGAGCATCTATCAAAAGGTGATTCCTGCCTAGCACCCGATATATGTCTTCTGGGGGTTCTATATCAACCAGTCTTGTTAACTTTTCCCAGAAGTCTTTATGAAGGTGGCTGGGGCCGGCCAACGTCAAGTCGTCGACGTATGTCGAGAGAAGTAACCCGGACTCCTTGAACCAGAAGTTTCCAGGAAACTCTGCGACCTCACGCCCTCCAAGTTCACTAATGAAACCTTTGAGGTGTGCCTCCCAGAGTCCGCCAGCGTCAGGATGCCCATAAAGAGCTTTAACGAGCAAAACCACAGGTTTCACGAAACGCTCGCGCCACCACCTTGGCCGGAGCTCAGGCGGGAGTGTGATCCAAGTTTGGTACTTGGACTTCAGCAGTGCTTGCACATAAGCCTTTATAGCGTCCGCTGTTGTGGTGGAGTTCCCTGGCAGGGATCCATAAGCGAGACAGTTATTAAGACCTTGTACGCTCGTGGGATTTGCTCCCAGTTCTTGGTAGACAGCTGCTGCGCCATGTTCGTCTTTCGCACAGTCTCCGCGATACACAATCCTACCTTTCATCTTCTGAAGGTGTTTCGCGAGTTCGGCGAACTTGACGGATGCTAGCGACATCAACTGCCCGAAATGGACTTTTATACTGGATCGTCGCGCCTCAGCAGCGACTTGATCATACTCTCGGACTGAATTTAGATCCCAAACACCGGCTTTCTCCAGGCCTGTGGCTTCAAGTCGAACGGCTTCAAGGGCTTCCGGGGAAGCCAACATTTCGGCACGTGACAAGAGTCTGGTCACCATTGCGGTGATCTCAGGATCCTTTTCCTCTTTGACTTGTCCTAGGGAATGTGCGATGAGATTTTCAACATCAAGAACTTGTTCAAGAATGTTGTGACACTTTTCATCGGACTCAACAGCAACACCTATGTCTTCCAAACCGGAGAGAGGGGATATGTGTTTTAGCTGCTGTTCACGTTCCCGGTGATCGAGAGGCAATGGCACTTGGACAGGCATCGCAGGCACCACGGGCTGAACTGTCGGATACAGCGCACGGGCAACTGTGAGACACATGCCTTCGGGGTAGAAAGCGGTCTTTGCGGTCTTGTTACCTGCTGCAAGCGAATGTTTATACCCTTTTTCGTGCGGACACTTGAATGCACCTAGCGCGGATGCGAGTGTGCTATTGCTGGTCATGACTTTCCATGGCTTCTTGATGGGATAACCATTGCTGTCCTTCAGACCTAGGGCGCAACCGTGGAAGGTCGCTGGGGTGAAGACTTGTGCGTATTCCCTAAAGAATGCAGAAACATCATCCCTAGCCCAGCTGTCGCAATCCCTTGGCCACTCAAACGAAACACTACCCCCCTGATGGAGGACAGTCTCTGCGTGACGTCTGAATCTGGAGAACAACTCTCTCGACTCTCTAACCTTTTGCTTCAGTTTCTTTTTGAACTGGCTTCCTAACTTGGCCTTATTAAGGCGTTGCCATGCTGAACCTGATGTGCAGGGAATTGCAGCCCAGAGATTGGGTTTGTCACAACCTTCAATCTGCGACTGCAACTGGATTTCTCCTTCATCTGTGCTAAGGTCGATAAACTCTTTAGCCAGCCTAACATGAGGTATACCAAGACCTTCAAACACGCGACCCATATTGGACTCTGGTGAACATGCGTATTCGAACATCACAAGCAACTTGTCAATGCGTGCCTGTCGCTTGCGGGCACGATGATTTCCTACCTCAAACTGCTTGGGCTGTGGAGCTTCAACCTCTGCCCTGCATGGCATGCCAAAAATTGGCAATGTATCTGGACGACCGTTCTTTGACGCTTCGGTGAGAGGTGTCGGCGGCACGGAGTCTAACATCACGGCTGCACCTGTGGTGATCACGCAATCGGACTGAATGGGTTTTAACTTGAACACTGTGGACCCGGTCCATGCATCTCCAAGTGAGCGATTAGGTCGGCTCAAACCAACCATCGTGGATGTTGTCTGCTTTGCCCCCCTGAAACACGGCACGAGTGGTGCGAGCTGCAGTAAATCTTTCTGGGGAAACGGGGCAATCCTCGACCTCTTTTGGGGTAAAAAGATTCTGCCTCCTTGGCATGATATGGTATCGAACCAAACAGTTGGCATTTTCTTTGAACACCCAAAAATCTTCACCTTGCGATGTAGCGGCTGTCGCTGGCGCGGTATCGAAAAATGAGGCACCGGGTCTTGAGGGAGCGGGCTCCCCCAGCTTCGGCTGCATCAAATTCATGCGCAACATCTTCTGCACTAACTGCTATTTTAGGATCCTCTTCATGCTCGGATGCGTGGATTGCTCTGGCTAGCTCCTCATCCCCTTCAGTATGAACAATGGGAATGGGTTCCTTAGATTCAGTTTTGGCAGCGCTTTTTGCAGCTGCTTCAGCTCGATCTGCAGAAACAAGTTCGGAGAACCTCTTCTTGCATTCGGCACTGTGAATCTTGGAATGACCGGTGCATGCACGACAACCTGGCGTTTCCTTGAACTTGATGATCCTCTCAACAGTTATGTACACGGATTTTGACTTGACAGCGGATGGAGTCGGTGGGGCACCGAAGGGCGCCTCTCGCAGGGGCAAAGTTGGGGGTTCTGACCCGTCTGTCTTGCCACCATGCAATGCTCTGTCTGCTGCTGCTGCAATCGGGAAGCTTGGGGGTCCGTCCTCAACGAACAATTCCGGTTCAGGAACATCGTGAACGGAAATGGAACCATCTTTACGGAAGGCTTCATAGTCCATGACTTTGACCACATTACGGTACCGCAACCCCGGATCGACCCTCCAACCCAAAAAGAGCGCTGGCGCCATGTTCGGATCGAGAGTGCGCTTGCCAGGAGTCTTGGTTCTGTACCAAACCAATTGCCCGAAACAGCATCTCTTCCCTTGGAACTTTTCCTTGGTGAGAGCTTCCCATTGGGTTTTACCGGGGCTGAATGGAGCAGGCCTGTCGAACGACATGGAGAGACATGCAAATGGGTAACTAAACGTGTGCAACGAATAGGGCAGCCCTGATTGCAAGTGGATGCTGCGACAGCATTCCTTCTCTTCGCGAATGTCGCGCTCCAGGACGGTGTTGTGTGGCCACCTGTTCGGCAAGCTTGTCTCGGGGACGAGACCGACTTCGTGGGCCGCTCCTTCGAGCTCTCCTGCTGCATCCATTTTTATTAGACATGCTGGCGGCGAATCAGTGGCCCGAAGGCCCATGAACTGACGGAAGTTTTTAACATGCGCTTGCGTGT